TGTGGGAGGAAGCCGGAGAACCCGGAGAGAACCCACTTTGGGCCCGTGACATTATTTGCAACGAGAGTCTGTAAAGCAGCAGCCGGGGGTGGAGATTTGTTATGGGACGGTATGAAAAGACAGATCCTATGTTTATGTACAATCTGTGACTAAATCCACTAACAGTGCCCTGAATTCTCTTTTGGTTCTAATGTTCAGTTCATGAGACTGTTTTAGGAAAGTGCTGAATCAGCTGTGGGTGGAGTTTGTGCTGCTGTTGAACTGCATTGAGAAGTGTTTCTGTTCTTTAAACTCGACTCACTGAGGAATAAAAACATCTGTACAGTTCAACAACACCACACAGCACATCTTCCAACAGTTCAATCAGCACCTCTCTAAACCGGTGTCAACACAAGCTGCGTATTAGAACCTTCATGACCGGAGAATTTACACCAAAGCAGCACAGATGTGGTTTTTAGTCCTCAGACTGGGTCCTTCATGTCCCACAACCTCTTGCATACATCGTTCCTGGCTCCTCTACAGTCCACCTTACATCACAGCTCACATGTAAATAACACACGTACAGAAGTTTCGGCTGTACTGAGCAGTTCCAGCATGCGTCAACACCTCTCAGCTAGTTTCATCCAACCTGCTTAGTTTTTACCTTATTATGAAGACATTAAAGCATTAGTGGTGCCGACAGAGGCGGAAAACGAAGGCGAGCTTGTAAAAAAAAAAAAAACAGAAACGGTTGAAAATGCCATAAAAGCAATAAAGAGAAACAAATATTAGCTGGAAATTTCAATTACAGTTCAGTTAGTCTAAGCGTTCCCCAAAGAGCTCTGTGGTGCAATTAGACAGTCAAGCCCTGCAAAGCACAGTTTAATGGCACTGTGGAGATTCGTCTGCAGATAAACTGCGACAGCAGGAGGGAGACGCTGCAGCCTTCACACTGGTTTCTACAAGACTGAGGCTTAAGCAAGACTAAAATATCTAAACATCAAATGCGTCGTAGTTTATCATCATGTGAGACATGACGGTGAGGAAGAGGTTCTGCTCCTACAGCTGAGTTCATGGATGGAGGAGAAGATTCAACAACTCCCATCAGGTCTTAACACAGCCAAAGAAAACAGGATTTAAAAGAATATTTCACAGTTTGTTAAATANTTTTTTTGTAAAACATGTTTTTTTTCCAGATTGCGTCCATTTGTCATATTTCAAACACAGAGCAAAGTTCAGAAAAGGTTATTAGAGGTTATTCTTTCATCACAAGAGTACAGCCAGTCATAGTGAACACACATAACTGACATAATAACATCCAGTTTTAGCTTTTATCTTACCAAGAGTCAGAAACAAAAGTATGTTGACTTTACTGCCATAGAGAACAGTGACTCTGGGGCATTTGTGCTAACCAGTGACATAAATGATAAAGAGTTTAATAAAATGGTTTGTAGCCTTATTGACAAACTAACTGTCCTTAAACTCCAGAGTGCTGTTTGGTTTCTGGGCGCCTGAGACAATAATGAAACCAGCTCAGAGGTCCTGTATGGATTCTAAACGTCAGCGAGGTGAGCTGGATGATGGAGGGTTATGAAGCGCTTCGTATGTCACGGTCGTATCGTCACGTTAGCTTGTGTTTAGAGCTGAATGGGGGTCACGTATACCGCAGGTTGCTCCTGTCGGTTCCTGCCGTACCTGAGCTGCTAATTTCAGCGCTCCTCCGTAAAAGCTTCTCTGCAAAATGGCAGCAACGATAGTTTGATTGATGGTTGGCAGTCGGGGCAGGTGTGAGGCTGACAGCTGTGTCTGCTCGCTAACAGATGTTGTTTCATTATGTGTGAACTAAAGCAAATTCAGGGTGCCGTGAACCTAAAACTGTCTGCATGAGCAGAAGCTTTGTAGGGTGCGTGACATACGACGAGGGCCGTCAGCGTTTCCTCCGGCGAGGCCTTGACGTGCTTCTTGTCACTCTGTAATGAGGTCTCCATCTCCCTCCTCTGCAGCCTCCGGCCGGTCGGCTCGACGTTCTGCTCCTGCCTTTGCTTCAACAACAGAACACAGAATAGATGGAGGGCTCAGCAGAACCATGTGAGAATCCCTGGATAGAGCAGACTGAGGAGGCCGGCTCTCTTACCAGACAACTGCCGTTATCCTGCGGTTTTATTAAAGGCGAGTGCTGTCTGAGGGCGTCAAGTCTCCCACATCTGGCCAGCTGTTTGGGTGAGAGACAGATTAAATGTGTGTGTTTTCTGGTGACAGATGGGTGTGTTCTCCATGTGACCCCACAACACACACAGTTTGTGTTTGTTCCATGTTTGTGTTGAATTAGGTCAAACCCTGGCAGCCGTTCAGCTCCTGGACATGATGCAGCTTCCAAATTCTGGTTGTTTTTTTGTCATTAGACATTTGCACTGATCTCTCTGTATGTACAGAGTTTAAATTATGTATGTTTTTTAATAATGTGGGCATAGAAGATGGTCTTTTTAGATTATTTCTCCTTAATTCCAATCATCTGCTGCTCTCTAACCTCCTATTCTCCTGACATGATGTGCGTTTTATTAAATGTCGTTCCTTATACTGTTCCTCCATTAGCGTCACTTTATTCGTCTCTCTGAGCTGCTCTCAGAGCATCTGTTAGACCGACTGTTGGCTCGTTTCCAGACGCTGACCGTTGGTGAACTGAGGCCTCGCTGTCACACACTGAGTGTTTGAATGAGCAGCTGGTAATACCGCCGTCCTTAAAGCAGCAAACACACGCGTGTTTGCTGCTATTCTGTATGAATCACTTACAGTGGATTAATACTGTTTAAGCTACTGAACTGCAACAATACAGGAGGTTAAATAGCGAACCACTAATACAGAAACAACTTCATTAATGCTTCTCTCTGAAGCCGCCATCGTGCTCTGATGAGCTGAACTCGATTTCAGTCATTAAGTTAACAAAGCTGGTAAATTCAAACTT